TCCATAGTTTTCTTTTTAATCGTCTGGATTTATTATTATTCGATTACAAACTATAGTTAAATATATGTTTTTAATTCATATATGATTGAAAGTACATATAAAATGATTAATACATTAATAAGAAGGACTAGATATTGGCCATGGATCACATTTAGAATCGCATTGGCAGCAACAAGCACCACCAAAACTATATATACGACAAACTCCTCCTTTGGAATATCCCTTAGACTCGCATTGTGCCATACATACCGGGGTGCTTGTACATCCGTCCCTCACACAATGGTAGTATTGTCCTAATTGATTCATAAACACACATTAACAATATTCTTAAGTACAAACATAATCAATTTAATATATTAAGATATTGCGTATACAAATAGATTTTTCTTTTGTTTAGTGAATTTGATTAAATTAGTTGTAAATGTTACAAAACTAAATGTGTTACCTGAAATCATGGGCAAAATGATGAGAGTAAACACCAATGAAAGTAATAGAAGAGATGAAAGCTTATTTGTTGACATTGGTTATGTTTCCAGAGGATGCACCAATATTTTGTAATGAATATTATGTTTACTATGAAAATATTAGGAAAAATGAAACAGTAAATTTGACTATATATAAGAGCATCTTTATTGGTAAGATATCCACTGAGTATTTAATCTTTAAAATAATAATATTTTTAATGTCATTTAAAATATAAAAAAATTATGTTAAATTTTCATTAATATTTTTAAATGTATCAAATTACATCTTATATATGCACTTATATTAAATAGTTATATTTATTCATTAATTTCAATAATAAAATTCTAAATATTAATAATATCAATCTTAATAGCAATAATTAATAATACAATACATTATAGATAATAAAATCAAAGAGCTATAATTTTATTAAAATATTGAAAAGAAGTATATCAGAACACAATTTTAATTTTAAAAATTTCTGTTTTTATTAATTATTATAACATTTTACTAAATAAAAAAACATAACTTCTGCTACAAGACCACTTAAATTTAATATTTCTAAACACAACCTCGATGGGAAATATAATAAGTCATTACTGAATTTTCCATAATATGTATTGACTATTTAATGAGGTTTCCATAACAGACATTGACTGTAAAATAATGGTCAATGAATTTCATTAGTTATTAATTACTTACTATGTTTCCATTCGATACTATGTTTCCATTCGAGGTTGTGTACATGAATTAAGTTATTCTGTTAGTTTAAACTTAATTCATAATTTACGGGTTAAAAAAAAAAGAAATTGTTAGACCCAAAAAAAAAAAAAATCAATTACAACATTGTGTGCTTCAAAATCAAAAGACAGACAAAGGAAGAAGAAATGCACCAAGAAGATATACAAAAGAAACATAACTTCTGCTACAAGAAACCCCAAAAGTAAAACATTCCAATGGCGAAACAAACCTTAGAAAAGCGTAGGCATGTTTTTTCTCCAACTATACGATCTCCGAGCTGACGAAAAGAATGAAGGAGGCGTAAAACTCAGACCAAACATCTCTTTCATGGCTCTGCCTTGTTCAGCAAACCTCACAAGCTTAGCTACAACCTCTGCACTTTCCATAACCTGAGTCTTATCCTTTGGATTGCTCCATAGCTCGTTCACAAGCTGTAACCGCCTGCGTTTCGAGTTAACCGCGATCCCAAACTTGTGATAGATTCTCTTCCTCTCTTCTCCTGAAAACCTTTTCCCAACAAGCTTGCTCAGCATCTTTCTCTCCCTGTGAAGCGCCTTTCGGCTTTTACCAAAACCAAATAAATAATAAGCCTTAAGCAATACCGCGAAACGCTATATAACAAAAACGCCGAAAAAGATCTAACCTTGAAGCCAGTGTTAAGGTTTCTCCTCCTTCTAAAGCTTGGTTTCCCTGAGAGAAGCTATCTCTCATAAACAAAAGTCTTCTTAGCTCTACTCCGATATAGATTGAATCCGCTTCATCTCCTTTGAAAAGCAAGTAGAAGTATGTTCTATGCACCAAAGAGACATTACAGATTTGCCACAACTCCAAAATCTCTTGCCTCTGTCTCTCAAATTCCTCGTCCATCGAGTCCTCCAGACCAATGTCCCTCACAGAATCCATTGCACTTGAGACCTAATAAAACAAAACTTGAAAATGAATCCAAAACTACAAAGAGGAATTGATTCATATGTGATTTTGAACTTACCTCGCCTTGACGCTTAGCCATTTCCTTAAGCCCTTCAACAAAAGTCCGGATGCTAGTGATACCTCCTTCTTCTCCCAGCGGTGTTCTAATGCTCTGACCCTCTGTGGAATCGCTACCGTACGAAGACATAGAATCATTCCTCGACACAACAGAACCAAAATCTAAATCAGGAAACACAAGCTTGTGACTCTCAGGTCTTCCAAGGTAGTCTGTCCCCATGTTCTCAGGAGGAGTGTTCAGGCCTGACACGGTCTCTCTACGACTACTCCAGCTTCTAATCCTCACATTTTGGTCAACACTCGCTTCGCCATTAGTATCCTCATTACGACCGAAAACGTTTTCAGCTTCTGCTCTTTTGTCTTTGTGGTTATTATTAAAGACTGTGGCTGATTCCTCAATCTCAATGCATTGAACTTCTCTGCAATATTCTTCTGATTGATCTACCGAACGCCTAGTAGGCAACTCTTCGTCAAGGTCATCGTCGTCAGAGTGAGACCGAACATAAGGTCTTGATATTGAAACCGGTGTAGACATGTAACTCCTTGTGTCTGAATCGACCACGCCTGATGTCTCTGTTACTGAACCATCCTCCCACTTGTCTGCGTGGCTGCCGAAATGCGGAGTTCCAGACTTCAACAGAGGAAAAAGAGAACCAAACTGTTTAGCAGAAATGCCATAGAAACCGTGGAAACGTTGATTAACATTTGAGTTACCTTTGACGCCTCGCCGTGCTCGATCATTCTCATGAAATCTTCAAGCCGAGATTCAGCAAGATCCTTCTGTTTCCTCAAATCTGTGATTTGCTTTTCCATCTGCATAACATTAAACCTTAATCAACATTTAACAAGCCAATATGTCAACTCGTACAGTATCTATCTCAGACAAAGCCTAGAGGTCGTTGATTTCTTTGTGTCCACGAAAAGCACAAACCTTTTGTATCTGAAGATCTTTCTTCCTAGCAGTCATCGAACAATCACAGTTGGAGGCAGGTGAGGCAGGGTTTCTAAGCTCGGTCTCAAGCCTCGCAAGCTCACGTTGTAGTTGCTTCAGCAGAGCCTTGTCTGACATAACAACATTAATACGCGCCTTTGTGGTAATTTCCTTTGCACAGCAAGCGAACAAGAGTGTGTTCCTCGTTAACTCTACATGACTCCTCGCTGGACTCAGAGTGCAGATGATAGCGGTTCTTGCATTCCCTCCCAAGCATGGCTGTAGAATTCTTGTGAGCTTGGAGTCTCTAAAGTTGATGTGACCTTGTCTTCCCTTACTAAATCCAAGTAGAGAAACTCGTGGTTTGATTATTAAAATCAATCTACTTTTAGCATTCGAAAGACAGAAATGTATACACACCTAAGTTTACGAATCACGGTTCCAAGAGTCAACAAACTTCTATTGATATGGCAACCTTCCTTGAGTCTTGCACCAGCTGAATTGGCCTGTGATGCACGCTCGCTTCCCGCTAGATCGATGAAATTCTACACATAAAGGGAGATTAAAAATGAACAGAAAGCCTCAAGATTCAACATTTAAGAAGGGTTGTTTTAGTTTCGAAGATGCATGAGAGCATACCACACTAGCCATGAGGGTGGTTGAGTTTTCTTTGCCTAAGAACTCACGAGCAGAGCTTTCAACTGACTAAAAATTACCGATACAGTCAAGACAAGGACCAAAATAAGTAAGTAAGTAAGAGAGAATCTTTGTATCTTGAAAAAAATCCAGTGATAGATAAAGAATCTAACCAGTCTAATAATTTGATGAGATCTTGAACTTCTCTCATTCAATGAGGTTTCGCCAATCTTACGCTGTGCTGCAAAAACATGTAAGTTTAGACAACATTTTTCTGAAGAACAACATTATTATCATGGCTACTTGGTAGTAATGGAAAGTGATTTTGAGTTTTGTGTTTTACCTTCACAAACAGATAGAAGCTCATTCAGATGATTCCAGTCTCTTAGAGTTTCCTCGGTGGCTTTATCAACAACGGTCCCTTTCTAGTAAGAAATGAAAGAACATTCAGACAAATTTTACAAACTGAGAGTGCTCAGAGTAAGGAAAATGCCAATCAACTACCTCAGGATCGTCCCGTAGCCTCAGCGATGTACCATCCGATCTAAGCAGGTCTCGTATGGCTTCATTGTAGATCTCTATAGCTGAAAACTTCACCACAAACGCCCTTTCTTCATGCTGCACCATCAAGATCCAATTAGTAGGTACTGCGTGTAAGAAGACTCAGTAATACAAGCATGGGAAAAACAGAATTCTGATGTACCTGAAATATATAGTCAAATATGTCAGCCACAGCAAACTCAGTAATACCACTCATTGTGTATGTCTTTCCGCTACTCGTCTGGCCATATGCGAAAATACTACCTGTCAAAATGTTACATTCATTGCAGAACTTAGCATATCGATATGTGCATTTCAGACAAATAATGGCCAAAGGAAGCTTACAATTGATTCCTTTAACAACCGACATGGCGATTTCTTTGGTTCCATCCTCGTAAACTTGTCTAGTGGGACATTCACCTCGGTAAACTCTATCTGTCACAAACAAGAAATGGGAATCTGAGTCAACTTATGGATGAAAAATGAGATCTTTTCAAATATGTAGACTCAGGAGGTTAAGTATTAGTTTGAAGAGGTTAAAGGACTATTTCACTTCTTACCAAATGAATATGCAGACGGATTGTTTGAGCCTTCGCGCAACGTGTTTCTGTACAATACGGTAGTTTCATTGATACATTCCCAATCCGCAGGTTCGTTAGCCGCAATCTCTTTCTCGTTTAGAGGCCTTAATCTCACCAGAACCAGTA